CTTTAGTTCTCGTTGTACTCCCTGTGCTATGCTGTGCTGTGCTGTGCAGCTTAGTATCTGAGGTTACTCGTTACTCGATGTGTATTTGTAGTACTCTACTCGACATAGGGCTGCATGGACGACTTGAAAAGCAAAACATGTCATCCGCACCGTATTGTGCAAGAACCGGGGAAGGTTTGATGTCGGTAGCCGCGAGGGTGATTGCGAAGAGGAAGGGGGGGGGGGGGGGGGGGGGTGGGATATAATTATCATACTCTGGAGTAGGTGTTGATTGAGGATTGAGAGGCGAATGCCTACGAGTTGGTCAATGAGAGCTGTAGAGTAGGATGTGGATGACTCGTAAGTACATGTGGTTATCTCAATCTCCAAATATGGAATACTGGAATATGCAGGTACAACAAACAAGCAATCCACTATCTGCTCTACTCTATGCAGCGCCTACTCTAGCTGTACCCATCTCCCAAGACGGTAATCGACTCGACGGCGGTGCATAACATATAGCACCGTAAGTGCGAACCATATACTTGTACCTACATGGAGGCAGAGTACTCTACTCTACTCCATGTAGGTACTCACTCTCCTCAGACAACCAACCATAGGCTCAATTACCACCTAGCTATATGCAATCACATCACCGGATAGAACGGGCGGACGGATGAGCGGCGGCGGGTAATCACAATCATAAACTTTTTTCTCCTCCTCTGGTAAGAGAGTAATTAGAGTAGTATCAGAAGAAGATCTAGCCTCTCCCGAAAGTACATATAGTTAAATATGCTTCTTCGTCAAAATTGTGGTGAGGTAGCACGGCATGGCCTATCCTATCATATCCTATCAATTGTATCGTATTCCCCCATCCCTCCCAATATCCCCCCATCTTATCCTCCGGTCTGTATGCAGGTACAGCAATCTACAGTCGCAGCAGCAGCAGCAACACCCCCCCTAGAGTAAAGACCTGCGGCCTGCCTGTACGCCCCGTGGCGAACCTTTAGGCTAATAATAGTATGCATTGGGGGCGGGGGAGGATGGGGTGATACGTTGCAATTGATATGTCCAAAGATTCCGTAGACTACTGGATAAGACGATGATAGGAGGAGGACGTCGAGGCCGGGGGAGATGGATGTCGCGATGTGAGACCCGGCTGAGCGAGCGAGCGAGCGGGCGAAAAAAAAATAAAAAAAGGACGAAAAGGAAAAGGAAAAAGCCTATTCGATAGACCGGGGATTGCGTTTCGCCTATCGGTGGACGAGTGGAGGAGAGCGAAAGCTCTGGTAGAGCAGTTGTACCATCAAGTGGAAAGTATGCCAGCCGCGACTACAGATGATCTACTCTAAACTCAATTACAACCCCCCACTCTTATCCTCATCCTTCCCGCCTCGAATGCACCTCCCAATGGAAAAGCTTAAAACGAAAATGTCATCTGAGCAAGAAGGTTTTCGTTTATTTTCGGTAGAGTGGAGTTGAGGGGAAGGGGGGTGTTTGCATGATATGGATACAGATACGTAGAGTAGATAAAAGCACATGCAAGCAAAAAAAAAATTCGTATTCGCCAAAACGAGCATGGCCTGCATATATGGTGCTGCCAAACTTGGTTAAAGTTGTGTGCGTACCTGCGTGCAGTGAGGTGATGGCTTTTTGTGTGGTGTGCATACATACATGCACCTTACGCAGGTACGGTTTTTTTTGGCCCAAATTTACGCATTTCCGAACTTCTTGTGAGGGAGGGGAAAGAGAAGGGACCGGGGGAAGAGGGTGGGATAGGGTATATCCGTTGCGTGATATTAGATATTTCCTGCATAACGTCTTTTTTTTCCTTCGTTTTTTCTGATACTGATATTGATACTGATACTGAATACCTATTCTACTGGTGCCATCATAGCTACAGTATGACATATCTGCGCTAGCTATTGCTATTGCATTGATCAGTTGGATGTTGTTGTTATTATATGTTTACCCTTCATGAAGTTAAAGCCCTTTCCTGCCTCCCCCTCCCCCTCCCACCCCCCTCCCACCCTTTCGACATGCTCATCTCTTATGTCTTTCGCTCGCTAGCCAATTCTCCCAGGGTGGATGGGTTTAATTACGCTTCATCCGTTACTCTCGCTCGCCCGCCCGCCCACCCGCCCGCCCTCTAGCGCAGGTGCGGTACAGCCGTATCTGAGGAGTTAAGTTACTCATACGCCATCATGCTCTGTCAGCACAGCACAGCGCAGTAGATCCCTTTTGGGATGGTAGATAGCCTTAGTGGGCAAAGCAGGTACATGTAGAGATACTTTGGTAGAGTACACCCTCCTGCCAATGATAATTAGAGTACTAGGGTGTAGCGAAAAGTGATCAGAATCTGATAAGACAAATACATGTATTCACCGCAGCATTCACTTATCAGATTCTGATCACTTACCCTCAACACCCGGTACATAACTGTTTGTGCTTCTAGCAGCACGCCGGCCGCGAAAAGAAGGGGAGGGAAAAAAGAGAGATAATCCGGCTAGGCCCAGTGGTCGATTCCACCATCTCGGCAAATTTTAAGCAGTTGTAGTTTTTTTTTCTTTTTTTTTTCTCTCTCTTCCTGAGCTGTGCTAAAACGGGAGGGGACCGGGCGCGGGAAAGTCGCAAATTTGATGGAACGTTCTGTTCGGTGGAAGTAGAGAAGAAGGGGGGGTCGGATGTTGAATCAACCAATGAATTTATTTTATTTTTATTTTATTTTATTTTTTTACTTTCGAGAAAAAGTCCGGGATATTTTTTTAGGCCAGAGAGATAGAGAATTTATTTTCTTTTTTTTCGATGAGGTTTTCCTTCATCGCCCGGATCTCACTCGCTGTTTGGGGGGCGTATGTTATCATCATATGTGGTTGAGTGCTCGAAATACTCAACCGCAGTGCGGTGCTGATGCATATCTCATGTATGTACCAGTATGGATGCGTGTAAGAGGTTTGAAGAGTGCATGCTTGGAGAAAAGCTCCTGTTGGCTTGGAGAGGAGGGGAGGGAGCAGCAGCAGCTCGGTTAGGTTCGATGCCATCAGTATGACGGCGGTGCACTTTTGCTCATCTATGTACTCTATTGAACGTTTTGGCTTTTTTTTTTATGCCTTTGCATAGGGGGTGGGATATGCCTGTTGAGAGGTTTCCCACGAGATTAAAGGTTTGAAGCTATATCACGCTTCTTGTTCCGGTAAGGCCGTGGAAAGAGAAGAAGAGCCTGCCTGTACTGTAAGGAGATTTTGTAAGCAGCATGACTATGACGGTTCGGTTGTGCACAGCTTGAGGTCAATGGAAGTCTGAACGAACGAGCCAAGAGAAGGGAATTTGGCGATCCCTCAAGAGAGAGAGAGAGAAACCCAAGAAGTGACGGACCGGGGGTGTCCCTAGTCCCGGGAGATTGGGTCCTCGGGTTATGTATGTCACCCAGCGGAACCTGATACTAAACCCCAACGCAACCAAGCGCCGTCGCTCGAGCGAGGTCAGTGCCCAGAAGGGGAGACGAGGGAGTGAGTGTGGAAAGAGCGAGCCTCAGAAGGCGGGTTTGAGAAAGCGAGAGAGACAGTGAGATGGGGGTAGAAAATGACTGTCTGTACTGCATTGCACTGCAGGGTCAGTACCGATAAAGAATTGCCTGGTGTATCTATGTATCTTCAGAGCCTATATGTAGGTACAGAAAGTAGGGGAAACAGAGATCGGGTGTGTGCGGGTGAGTGTTTGAGATCGATAGAAGCACAAGAGGCGGATTGGCTGTGAGGGAAAGTAGAGAAGATCAGTTCTAAGATAGAGAGATCGAGAGGGAGAAAAAGAAGCAGAAGAAGGAGGGGAATTCAGACATACAGACAGACAAGACAGACAAGACAGGTCCACACATACGAGAGAGGACATTTGAAAGATAAACAGGGCCAAACCAGAAACCAGAGAAGCCTCAAGAGTGTAGGTTACCTTAACTCTCGAACAGTTACGCACGGACGTCCCGGGCAACACACCACACCCGTCTCCCGTTATTCCTTTCTACCCCGAGTGAGCTGTGAGCGACGGATCTGCCTTACCAGTCGGAGGGAAAAGAAGAACAGTCAGTCAGCCAGAAAAGAAGGAGCAGCAGTACGGCATCGTACACTTCAGCTGTACCCAGTCAGTCAGTCAGTACCAGGCAGTACCACGAGGCGGTGGTACTCACTCACTCACTCAGCAAGGAACGCTAACGTCGACGACAATAACAACCCGAAACATTTCGTTATTGTTTGGTTACTCCCAGTCTCTCAATCGCTCATCTCTCCACCCTAATAATTTGTTGGGGAGGGATACGGAGAGTTCGAGTGATTACAGAGTTCGGGAGTGAGAGAAATTGTGAACGATTGAGGGTGTGGAGAGGAATAAGGAATGAACTCCAGAGAAGGGTAGTTCGAAACATAAAAACCAAGAGGCAAAAGCCGCCAAACAGACGCCTTCCCTCAATCACAGACGCCATCGACTACTACATTGACGCCCTGGACATCTCATCCCCAATCCACTTCCACCCCCCCAAATCCCTTCCACCTCTCCACCCAAATTCTCTCCCCCCCCCCCCAGTCAGCGAGCATGGTGATGCAGGGAGTAGTTGCTTGAGCACTCCCTCCACCTCGAACTCGAACTTACATCAACCTCGAACATCCCCCAACTCCTCTTTCCTTACTACTGCCACCACCAACACCACCCCCCCCCCCGTTGGTTGGCTCCCCTTTCGTTTCTCTGTTTCTGTTTTTCTTTCTACGGGAACCTGTTCCATAATCATTCTTTCTTTTCCTTAATTCACCCTATACATTCGTTTCCCCCCATAGCTGCTGCTGCTGCTACAACACCTTCAGCATCACACAGCATCTCATCACGGCTACCCGCCCTCACACACCCATCCCCCCCCCAATCAAACCAACGGCATTGATCTTGTCGTCATACTTTCATCGGAATATTCATCATCCCACCCACACCACCGGCCTGGATTGAGCCTGGAACTTTTTTAAAACTACTCGTCCTGCATCGACATGACTACGTCCTCTTTCGAGACCCCCCAACCATCCCCCAGACCCTCTCTAGACGAGGGGGGTCGAATGCTACAACATCACCCGGAGCCCCAATCACCATTTAGACTTGACGAGGAGCTTCATTTCGACTTTCCACCTGTTCCTTTATCTGCATCTGCCCACAAGACGCATTTTACACACCTTCCACACGATAACAGTGTACGAAAGATGATTTCAGTTCCCGAGATGAGGCCCGGACAATCGTGTAATCCTAATATACATAGACAGAACTCTACGGGAATTGCTTTGCCAAGACCGCGTGTTGGAGGCTCAGGTGAGCACGGCTGGGAAAGGGGTGGAGACCAACCATTGTCGAAACAAGTAAAGAGGAGGATGATGGAGCAGGATATTGCAACGAGGGAATCTTTTGAGAATTTACCTGGAGCCGACCGGCTGGCAAAGCAAAAGAGCATGGAACGGGGAATACTGGTGGGGTTACCTCCTCCGGGAAAATCACCTCAAGGCAAGAGGGCAGCAAGCAACGGTGAAAGAAGAGCTGGGCCTGGCCGAAGGACACCTCCGATTATTGGGCCCCCGCCGCCTGGTTTGAGGATGCCGTTGGCATTTAATTCTATTGCTAGAGAGCGGGGGTTCTCTACCGGTTCCCATACCCCGGGTCCGAATGAGTTTCCTCCGATACAGCCTCACCCTCGACATCCGTCAACTCCACGCGGTCCATACCCCTCAAGCTCTGCCCCAGATCTGTACGGTATAAATAACAGTGAGAACCGACATTATCCCCATCGGAGAGACCCACGGAGCACGCCGAGATCTCACCCGTTTTCTCCTCCGCACGCGCCGTACAGTAATGACACTAGTGCTGTGTCGAGTGCCAACACCTCGCCTCACAGCTCTATCGGGCCTTTAGGCGCCGTCGACGAGATGCGCGGTTCGTTCCGATCGGCACTCTTTACCGACGACTTTCACCGTTCAAGCACACCAACAAGTATATCAGAGCGGACTGAAGACAGCCATGCTATGACAGTTGACGAAGCTATTGGTATGTACGGCAGCGACACAGACGAAGAATCGATTATGCGGGAAGCGCGAGACGAAGAATACAGAGAAGAGGAGAACAGAAGAAGCAAGGGCGACTCGGTACTTGGCGGTGCGACCTCAAGACACAACTCAGTGTCGGACGGACTGAGTGCGAGGGGAAGTCACGGCGATTCGTTGATGAGCGGAGTTTCTAGGCAAGGAAGTTTCGAAAACATCGAACGAGTTAGGAGTAAGGGTGATTCAGTGCTAGGAGGAGAAGTTTCGCCCAGGACAAGGTCGAGGTTATCGGAGAGCGAGATGGCGCTCCATGAGCCGGATTCTCCGCGCCAGAGTGCGGATTTTGTAGAAGTTGAAAAGATGGAAGTACTATGTGTTGACAGCCAGTTGGATGTTGAAGAACAAAGTCGCCGAAGTGGTACCGAAGAAGATAGAATGGTCTCAGAAGAGGAAGATGCGCACTCAGAACCCCTGGCAACAAGTGAGGTACTGGACACCATCCCTAGATCACCCGAGATGTCGCCAGCATTCAAGCCCCAGTCGTTACCCGAAGTCCCACCACCTGCAATCCAAATGCCTTCAAAGAATCCAACAGTTGCCATCAACCAATCACCCAAAGATCCTCGTGATCGTTACGGGTATGATATTCTAGATCCTTAGATGACGCGAATTCTCTTGCTAACCTTTTGAAGATTCCGAAAGCAAACACAATACGTTACTCTCGCAGAATACGAGGAATGGAACGCGCGTTATGAGGAGACTTTGGACAGGCGAAGAAAGAAGTGGGAAGTACTGCTGAGAGAGTCTGGGTTATCATATGGAGAGGGAGGACCTGTCAGATTTCCGCCAAAGTCCAACAAGGTCAAGCGATACATCCGCAAGGGTATCCCCCCAGAGTGGAGAGGTGCAGCTTGGTTTTGGTATGCCGGTGGTCAGAAAGTGTTGAGTAAAAATGCTGGCCTTTATGAAGAATTGGTAAACAAAGGATTGGACTCCCCGGATTCGGAGCTCATCGAAAGAGGTTTGTATAATAATCCCTTCAGCTTCAATATTTTATCTAATTTTTCCGCCAGATCTTCATCGCACTTTCCCCGATAATATCAAGTTCAAGCCCGACCCACCGCCAGGTGCAAAAAGGTTGTCAAAAGTACAGCAACAACAGCTAGAGACGCCAATTGTTCAACAGTTAAGGCGTGTCTTGGTAGCGTTTTCACGATATGTTCCAAAGATTGGGTACTGTCAGAGTTTGAACTTTTTGGCCGGAATGTTACTTCTGTTCATGACTGAAGAGAAAGCATTTTGGATGCTGTGGATTCTCACCCACCAGCATCTTCCTGGAACCCATGAAGTTAACCTTGAGGGATCAAGCGTTGATCAATGGGTTCTCATGATGAGTGTAAGAGAAAGCTTGCCTCAGATTTGGAGTAAGATTGGTGGTGAGCTGGACGGGAGTGATTTTGATCCAACTTCAACAAAGCTACCACCTATCACACTGTGCACATCTTCATGGTTCATGAGCGGGTTCATTGGGTCTTTGCCTACAGAGAGTGTTCTGAGAGTTTGGGATTGCTTGTTCTAGTATGCATAACTCCCTCGCCCCCTCTTTTTCTTAACTTTTACTAACCTTGTGTTCGAAATACAGTGAAGGATCAAAAACCCTCTTCAGAATAGCTCTAGCGGTATTCAAAACCGGCGAACCCCAAATCAAGGCTGTCAGCGACCCCATGGAGATCTTCCAGGTTGTTCAGACTATCCCAAGGAAAATTATCGATGCTGGTGCCCTGATTGAGGGATGCTACAGACGTCGAAATGGATTCGGTCATATCAGCCAGGAGACAATCGACCTTAGACGGCAAGATAGAAGGGACACATTTGCGGCAGAAAGGGCTGCTATCGCGAAGGGAGGCGTTAGAGCCTCAAAAGACGATGCATCTATGAGAACTGGTCTTGGACACGTAAATAACGGTCTCGGTGCTCACGGAGGTCATGACATTGGCAGGAGATTCAAGAAGATCTTGGTCAAAGCATAGAATCGGGGTGATTTTTTTGTGTTAATTTCCTTAATTGTTGTTACTGCACTGCATTTCTTTGTCTTTAACGCGGGTCGACTCTCTTTCGGGGTGTTTGAGAGGGGGTCAATTTCTTTTGTTTTTTCTTAGCACTTTCGGCACGGCAAAAAGTTCAACTGGTGTCTGCTTTTTTTGTTTCTTGTTTTTCGGCAGCTGGGATAAGGGGTTGGCGGGATAAATACCTACACGATATGAAAGCGGCTTCCTATGTTTTTTTCTTTTCCTTTCTCTTTTCTTCCGGACTTTGGGTTTTCGTCATTTTTTTCTTCTCTTTCGTCTTTTGCAAATTTCCATCGACTCACACTCCTTATTCATTTACTTTAAGACTTCTTCTCTTTTGTTGCCTTTAATAGGCATTATACCCTTCACCCCCCCCCCCCCCCCAAACTTCTATTCTGTGTATTGTTTATAAACTTAGTATACATCTTACTATTCTTATTTGGGGGGGTAGGTTTTACTTTCTATTTTTCTCTTCTTTTCCATATTTTTCATTATCTTTGGGAGCCCCGGGCAACTCTTCATTTTTTTGACGTCACTTCTTTTTTTTTTTTTTACCCCCATATCCACCTTTATGCATTGCATCATATTCATAGGGTTTCTTCTTTTTTCTTTTCTTTTTTTCTTTTTTTTTCTTTCTTTTTGGGCGTTCGACCACCTCTCTTAACTTCCCGAGAGATTTTCCATTTTTTGAGATTACCAGACATTGAGGATGGACTTGAGAGAAGATAGCGTTTATTATTGAAATACATATCTATCCTAAAAAGAATCATTGTTTTGTTTTACAGGGAGGAACCCTCTGGATGTGTTAAATCCTCCCTTTTCTTTTGTCAAAAATATCTGGGGTGTTTAGTGGAATAGATTTTTGGGACGGGGGATGATCATGCGGCATCACTCGTAGATATTAAACTCCCCCTAGACTTTGTAAAATAGAGGTTGTGGAGGAAAAAAGAAAGTCTGTTTCTGTATAAAACAATCAAGTCAGAAATGTATATTACATCATAACAGGAGTCGGAGGAGAGGAGTGTAAATCACCAGCCATTTTGAAAACAAAAAAGGGGACACAATCAAATCAAGCTGAAGGACATGGATGAGGGGGGTTTTGAAGTGAGATATTATTCATCACGTGTCATTGGCATCTCTCCCTCCCTCCCTCCCCTCCCTTCTGCTACCATACATGCTGGGGTCAGTGCTGCAGCAGTCAGTCACGTAATCTCACTCATGGGGGGTGAGGTAGGGAGGAAAGGATTTCCTGCATTTTAAGACATCACTTCGCTTATAACTCAGGTACATACCAATGGCACGAGGGAGGGGATCTACCTCCACCCTACATACACACTGTAGATCCGTATTCCACTTTCGCTACCTACATATGACCTACCTGCCTGCAGTACAATGTAGGAGGCGCTGCTTAAAGTCTCCGCCTCCCCCCTGATCCCTCTGCAAGTAACAGGACTCCGCACTGGGGGCGTACATACATCGTTACCCACTTTAGCAAAGGAAAACCGAACCCCTTCTGAGACACAGGTAGACGAACGGCTGCACCTCCTGCTTTAAGGTGGGCCTAGACCATGTTCTCATAATTGTCAATAATCTCCGTACATTGTGATAGTGGGGTGTGCCCTCTATATGTGGTGTATGTGATGTGGAGGTGGTGCTCCCGTTTAGGAGTTGGGGTGGAGGCAGGCAGCTCAATGGCGTCGCCGGTGTTTTAAGGAGGTAGCGAAGGGGGTGGCCTTATTGGGGTAGAGCACATCAGATCTACGGGTGGGATGTTTTGGTAGAGTGGGGTGGGATCGAGCGAGTTCCTTCGGGGGAGTGGTGGATGGTGGAGGCAGGGGCTGTCTTGAATGGCTCGGGGGTATAATTACTTGCAGATTTGATATGTTTCGTCTCCGAGGGAAACATTGACTAGATGCAATGTAGCTAGCTAGCTAGACGGGGTTTGTTTTGTGGGCAAGTGATCCGCTGCTATCTGTTTACTTGGTCAAACCTTGTAGGCTAGGGTTGAGATACACCATGGCCTCACTGGCCGTGGTATGCCCTGAGGTTCACACGTGAACCGGAGCTTGCCTTGCCATGATGTTTATAAGGACTGAGAAAGCAGAAACATATCCGCTTGCCACGGTCATAACCGGACTTGTATATATTATTGGGTGTTTGGGTGTTTCTTATAGATATAAATTTGAGTAAGTATTTGTAATGGGATAGGCAGGTGGTATTATTGGTCTAGCAAAGACCGAATGGTATAGGCTAATCTTAGAAAGACAGCTGATTGATAGGAAGTAGATAGGATCTATTGGATCCGGATGATAATTAAGAAGCGGAAAGCCAAATAAATATACGTAAAGGTCACTGGGGGGGGGATTATATTACCTGGCTAGTCTTTGAGTACTTGAGACCGTTTTGACTGTAAGTTACCCCGCAAATTCTCCGGCGCCGTTTTCGAACGATTGGTCGAGGAGGTCTGGGGTAAATAATGATACTGTTAACCCGCTTATACGGCTTTTTCCATATCACGATCAAAGCCTCAAACCTCGACACAAAGTCCTTAACGGGGTCAGTTTCAAATATATTTTTGCAAGGATGATATTACGCAACCTCGCTACCAGAAGGTTTCTCACCTGGAAGAATGACTTCAAATTTCCCTAATAAAGGTTTTAAATATATGTAGTCATTAGTTGAATATCAACATAGCCATAAGTGGTCACATATAGCCTTAATTCTGGGCGTTGTGTTTCGCATTAACGCGGCTATAAGCAATTCTGTGGACTGAAACCGAAGGTCCTTACTAGAGACCTATCAGCACTAGACTAAGCAATTAGAGAGTAGATAATATTGATCGTGACAAGTCATTAATTGTGGTGGTGGATGTTGTTAACAATTGCATTGGTAAACGTTTTATTATGCAGTTTGGATGTTGTTCAAAACTATCTGTACTTTTGTATTAGAGATAGTTTGGCCTCTAAACTGTAGCTACATATAAGGGGAGAGCTTTCACTCTCTCTTCTTGTTTCTACTCATCAGTTCATACAGTACATTCTCTAATCATCTCTGAAAACAGATACACGTTATGTATGTACCTCGGTCTTTGGGTTGCTTCTCATTGATCGGGCTTTTCGCTCATAATTCAACGGGATTTAATGGGCGACAGTGTCTTGTGGATCGTGGCTGGAAGCATAGAGTGTGGAAGCTTTCGAATCTTCACGTAATGCCGTGAGGTTGAGGTTAGGGGCTGGGGGAACACTGGGCGATAACACATCTAAGAAGAGCTGTGGTTTGAACCGGCAAGGTGAGGTGGTGTTACAGACAGCTCTACTCTATTGGTGAACCTTAATATCCTACACGCTAACCTCAACAGTGCGGGGTGGGCATAAAACCAGTACCTACACTAAGCCGTGCCTGAAAACAGGTGCATGACATATCACTCGACACCAATAACTACAGCGCCACATATTTTCGTCACAAACCTTCCCCTCTAGCTCTAGATCTACGGTCACAACAACCTACATAACTCCACAAACAACACCAGAAGCTCGGAAGGAATAATGCTATTTCAGGCGTATGAACACCAGGATCTAAGCGCTAAGCAAATAGCCTACAAATGACGTAATACAACATTTCCCCCCCCGACAAAAAAGACACATAAAAAAAAGTAAACTTTGATCTACCCTACGTAGTGATATCCCTATTTAGTTGCACACCGCAAATATTCTCTATCGTACAGCTCCCAAAGACAAACGTCCGTAGTAGGAGTCTCACCCACCACTTTACTTTGCATACTGCTTGACCCAGGACTTTGCGTTCTTCTCGAACTGCGCCTTGTCCGACTTGAACTGCTCCGCGATCGTGGTCTCGACGGCATCATCACTGCAGCCTCATCAGCGCTCCGTAGATATTCTAGAATGAGATGGGGACAGTAGAAGAGGGACTTACGGATTCGGCTCCACCAGCAGCCCCCTTGCCATCTCCAGCACCGACATGATCTTGCAGCTCGGCTTCCACTGATCCGATCGCAGGATGCCCAGGCACATGCTGCCCTTATCGTCGTTGCTGACATTCGGGTGGTATATTTTCGTCTGGAAGGCCAGCACGGGCGGCTTGAAGGGGTAGTTGGTGGGGAGAGTGAGAAGTAGCTTGAAGGTCCCGCCCTGTTCCGTTAGAAACTCATGTTAGCTCATGATCCCCCGTCGGCAAAGCAGTAAAGGCGAAGGGAGGAACGGACAGCGTAGACAGAGTCCTTGGGACCGGTGAGCTCGATGTTCCACTTGAACATGTCCTCGTCAATGGAGTGGACCGCAATGCCCGGGATTGGGCTTGCTTCGATCTCGGCGTACTCCTGTGGGGGACACCGTTAGATTCGCGGGAGCGATTAGTTGGCGCAGGGAGGGGGATAAGTACGCGGTGGATTCGCTTCTGAGCGGCCATTTGCTCTGTTGGGATGTGCAAATAAGTTATGAGGATTTGGTTGTTGAGTGGGTTTTTTCTGAGTGTTCTGTTGGAGGGAGCTGCTGGTGAGAGTTCAAAGGATAGGTAGCGGGGCTGAAATGCTTGGCGGTCAAGGTAGCTAATGCGGCTTATGTATGGCTGGGGCGGGAGCGGGTATGCATGAGCGCTAGGTGACTCAACCTCTCTTGGGGCTTTGTGATTCAGAGTTTGGTAGATGACGCTTGTGGAATCCTGTTTACTGCCATTTGTGCTGTTTGACAGGGGCGTTACCGCTGGGGCGTGGGAGCGGTTGTTAATTAGGATTGGAGAGGTGCACACGACATACATGTAGGGTCTGTAATCGCGATAACGATAACAGGCGCCTAGAATAGATAATCAGGAACACAGGGCCGTCCCACGCTACTAATTCTACAGGTGCAACATGCAAATACAGTACTGTAGTAGGGCCTTTGACTGAATACGTATTAGTTGTGTTATGAGGATATATATAAAACTCCTTTTTATAGAAAAACCAA